TTGTCCACAAAGACTTTCTAACTTTTCTCTTTTATTGTGCTTTCCATGTCCAGAATGCAAGCTCTAGAGAACCAAGAAGCAGAAGCCGAAGCACTTAGGGCTCAGCTAGAAAAGCGTCAGGCTGAGCTACAAGAAAAGGCTAGAAATGAATTTAGTGCTCCTCCACAGAACCAAGAAGCAGAAGCAGAAGCAGAAACACTTAGGGCTCAGCTAGAAAAGCGACAGGCTGAGCTACAAGAAAAGGCTGGAAATTAATTTAGGGCTCCTCCACAGAACCAAGAAGCAGAAGTAGAAGTAGTAGCACTTAGGGCTCAGCTAGCAACGCATCAGGCTGAGCTACAAGAAAAGGCTACAAATGAATTTAGTGCTGCTGCACAGAACCATGAAACTGAAGCACTTAGGGCTGAGCTAGCAAAGGGTCAGGCCGAGGAGCAAGAAAATGCTACAAATGAATTTAGGGCTTCTCCACAGAACCAAGAAGAAGAAGCGGAAGCAGAAGCACTTGAGGCTCAGCTAGCAAAGAAGCGTCAGGCTGAGCAACAAGAAAAGGCTAAATATGAAAAAAGGGCTGCTCGTGGTGAAAAATCAAGCAATCAGGCTCTCCGGATGGAGAAGGAGCTTAGTGGGCATTTAAATGATGAGGGGACACATGGGGATGTTGGAGGGTACAGTCCTGGCAGAAATTTGAGAGAGTATGAAATCAATGAATTGAGGTATGGCATTATGGTCAAGTATATTACATAGCATAAAAGTCTTTGTAACCATTGTCCACAAAGACTTTCTAACTTTTCTCTTTTATTGTGCTTTCCATGTCCAGAATGCAAGCTCTAGAGAACCAAGAAGCAGAAGCCGAAGCACTTAGGGCTCAGCTAGAAAAGCGTCAGGCTGAGCTACAAGAAAAGGCTAGAAATGAATTTAGTGCTCCTCCACAGAACCAAGAAGCAGAAGCAGAAGCAGAAGCAGAAACACTTAGGGCTCAGCTAGAAAAGCGACAGGCTGAGCTACAAGAAAAGGCTAAATTTGAAAAAAGGGCTGCTCGTGGTAAAAAATTGAGAGATCAGGCTCTCCGGATGGAGAAGGAGCTTATGGTCAGGTATATTACATAGCATAAAAGTCTTTGTAACCCTTGTCCACAAAGACTTTCTAACTTTTCTCTTTTATTGTGCTTTCCATTTCCAGACCAAAACATGTAAGAGATCTGCAAACTCCACAGAACCAAGAAGCAGAAGCACTTAGGGCTCAATTAGAAAAGCGTCGGGCTGAGCTACAGGAAAAGGCTAGAAATGAATTTCGGGATGCTCCAGAGAACCAAGAAGCAGACGCAGAGGCACTTAGGTCTCAACAAGCAAAGCGTCAGGCCGAGCTACAAGATAAGGCTAGAAATGTATTTAAGGATGCTCCACAGAACCAAGAAGCAGACGCAGAAGAGCGTCAGGCCGAGATACAAGAAAAGGCTGGAAATGAATTTTGGGCTGCTCCACAAAACCAAGAAGCCGAAGCACTTAGGGCTCAGGCCGAGCAACAAGAAAAGGCTAGAAATGAATTTAGGGCTGCTCGTGGTGAAAAATCGAGTGATCAGGCTCTCCAAAGGGTGTGGGAGCTTGATGGGCGTATGAATGATGAGCATAGACATGAGAATCTTGGAGGGCACAGTCTTGATAAAGTTTCAAGAGAGAATGAGTTGAGGGATGAAATCATCATTAAAAAAAATGTCATCACGGAGAAAGAGGGAGAGCTTATGAAAACTCGTGAACAATTGTTTAGTGGAGAGTTGATGCTCCCATTGATATGCTCTCTTATGTTGTTGATTGCATTATTGACCGAATGGCCAACTGAGGATGCGCCTTGGACATTTGATACAGTGGTCGAAAAGGTTCAAGCATACATGACTGTTGTTTTCAAATGTAGAGTGGATGCATTTGGAAGGCTGAACCAAGACTTTGATAGATATGTGAATTCCTATGTGCAATTTCTTCAGAGAGCTTCTGATTGTGATTTTAATTACAGGCGAACAGGTCTAACGCACTTTTCATTGAACGGCATACCGTGAGTGAAACCTTCCATTTGTATTGTTTATTTGTGTTGCTTTTAATGCATATTAGTTTTCTTAGTTAAGTTTTTTTACAGCAATAATCATGTGAATTTGGGGCGTCTAGATGAAGAGTTGAGGGCTGCCAGAGAAGAATTGAAAAATCTAGTGAGTCTTTTTGTGGCTCTTGGACTCTGTGTGTTTGCATATTCTCTTTATGATTTGACACTTTCTTCTTTTTTTGTTGTAGGAACTTGAGCTGTGGACCTTAAGAGCAGTGGCTGCTGAGTGATGTTTGTATGGTAAGCAAAATGTCTCCTTCTTTTCTATTCCCTTTGCAGACAAAACACTTGAGGATCACAAAGGCCTGACATCAATTTGATGTAGTTATAATCTTTTGGTTGTTTTGTTCTTGGGATTCTGATATCATATTTCACTCGTAGCTGGATATTTGATTCACTTGTCCTTGCTTGTATATTTCTAACATCTTACTTAAGTAATTTGGTTGCTCTCTTTCCACCTTAACATCCACAAACATGAGGTATGGTTTTGTATAAATTAAGCATACCGTATCATTGCTTGCATGTGCTTCCATTTTGTAGATATCCACTGTCCTGGCAACAAGGGGAAGCTCGTAAAACTATAATAGGAAAGCTTGGGAATTGGAATAACCAATGCTGTAATAGTCACTTGGAAGACATTATAGTTCCCAGATGTTTTCTTTCCCAGATGAAACTGTTTCTTTTACGTACAGCACTTGGTAATGAACTTTTGGTTGACATGAAATCTCATTCTCCACGGTTGCTATATTAGGAAAACTTGCCTTTTTGACAGGGCCTGCTGATGAGTCAACATGAATAATCTCTTCTTGATTCATGTTAGGCTTGAGGTGCATTTCATTTCTTCATGGTGATTCTTTGGAAAGGATAAAAAGACTAACATTACCAACAAATGTCTGAACTGGTTATCAGTTTTAGGGGAAAATGTCACGTTTGACCAGTTTCGGAATTTCTCTGTAGGGTGGTAGCTAGATTCTGATGACACATGCAGTCCACTTTGAGTAATTAAACCACACAAGCAAAAAACGGCGAATAAGAGTAAGCATCATAATTTATGTGTGTGTGTGTGTGTGTATAGTGTACTAATAGGTACTCCGTATATAGTAGAGGACAAAGAAAGAATTCTTTTTTATCAAATTTAGAATTTTCTTACATATTTATTTCGGTGATCATTTAATTGACTTTTCAACACTTTTATTCTTCCAACATTTTCTAACTCCTTCAAATTTTAACCAACTTCTTCCAATTTCTTCAAACATTCAACTCAAAAGAATCAGAGCCTAAATGTGTATCTTCAAAGCTCCAACAATTGTATACATGAACAATGGACCATTTTTTAAATAATATATTAAACTAGGCTTGCACCCCCATAAAAAAGTTCGAGAATAGTGTTACTATATTTAGTCTTCAATTCTAAAATATTACATTCCGATATTCAATCAGTCTTTTGAGAGATATATGTAGAAAAAAATTGGTCATATTTTCCCCCAAATATATTATGGAATGGTTAACTTATGGAATGGTTAACTTATAAAATTTTATCCAAAATGCTAGCGTTAATCTCTAACGTTATTATCAAACAGGCCCATAGTATAAGAGAAGGAAAAATCAGAAGTTAACTTGCTTTTTTCTCTTTTTTTCTTTTACATTAAGAAAAAGAAAATGCTAACACAAAAAACTTTGTGGTATAGTTTTTTCAAAATATTAACATTGAAACAGGTTGAAAAGCAAAAAGGAAACTTAAGAGAGTTTTCCCTTAGAGCACTAGTAATACATGCAACGCCCCCCGGCGTGATGGGGCGTTTAACGCCCCGGGGGCGTGAAACACCGCCCCCCGCCGGGCGTGATACGGCGTGATCGTGCCAGCGTCAAAGGAATGACGCTGCGTCATTCCTTTCCCCTCCCCCCTAACGGCTATAAAGCCGTTGCACCCCATTTCAAAAAAAAAATCTTATAAATTCAAACCCCCACCACCCAATCTCTCACACCTTCTCTTCAATCTCTTCTTCTTCCTATTTTAAAATTCGAAATTACCCTATCTCTATTCAACATGAATCCTTCCGGCTCCGGCTTCTCTCCCGACGATCTCCCGCCGAGTGACGCCGCGATGTGGTTCTACCACGAGTGGGGCGATCGACCGCCTATCTACGAGACGCAACAATCGGGGTACGTCGACCGAGATTCGGTTCCGGAGACTCAACCGAAACCGTCCGGATCGAAAAAAAGTACACACCGGAAAAGCCACAAAGCCAAAAGCACGTTGAACGAGGCGGAACGGTCAATCCAAAAGTGGTCGCCGGAGGAGGAGTGCATATTGGCATCGGCTTGGGTTGACGTCTCCGAGCATCCTATCATTGGTAAAAAATTTATTTTTTCTAATATATTTATGTTTTTATTTATATATATATATTATATTTAATGGTGTCTAAAAAAATTGTGTAATACATTTTTAAAGGTACGGAGCAAACGAAGGATGCGATGTGGGATCGTATCGAGGAGAAGTTCTTCACGGCGATGAAGAAGGATGGCTCCTACCGAACCCGGGACCAACTCACTTCCAAATGGAGCCACATCAATAAAAAAGTCCTAAAGTTTATGGGAGTTTACGAGGAATGCTCCCGGTCCCGGAGGAGCGGCACGAACGACGCCGATGTTCTCCGGCTTGCCACGACCCGGTATCAAGACGACGGGAACCAAGGCAAGGTGCCCATGGATCTTTGGAGGATTTTGAGTCGTTCCCCGAAGTAGCAACAACTCAACAATCCCGACGGCGGATTGTTCTGGAAAAGATCCACCGTCGATGCCGAGGTTGAGGTCGATGAGACCATCGGTTCTACCGATCAAATCCCTTCCTTCAACGTGTCGGCTTCCGATGACGAGGACCCCATTCCACGGCCGATCGGAAGAAAGAAGGCAAAATCTCTTGCCTCTGGTTCGGGAGGGTCCGCCTCTGTTTTCGCTTCTCCCCGTGACGAAATCGGCCGGACAATGATTGAACAACTTCGCGCGTTCAATATCCAGGAACAAGAGAGGTTGAAGCTAAAGGAGCAGGAGGCCGAGATGAAAGTCATGCAAACCGACCCCGGGACATTGTCGGAGTTTAGACGAATAATCTATGAGCAAAGAATGAGAGAGATCAAATAGAAATATAATTTACCTTAGTTTTTTTATTAATGTATTTTTTTTTAAATTATTGTCCTTCTTTTAGTTAATATATTTTTTTTATTCGTGTTTCAATTTAATTAAATAATAAATTAATTACATTTTATTAATTTAATTTTAGAAGATGTATATTTAAAAATGTTAAAAATGAAAGCTTGAAGCCCCAGTTTGAATTCCGGGATTTCAAACTCATTTACATTGATTTTGGGAGTAAGTTAAAGCTGACTAGATAAAGTTTGAAGCACTACTTTGACTTCAAACTTATTACCACTGCTCTTACGAACAGAATTAGCAGCACCAAACAGCGGGAGAACTCCGCGGCTGATAGATCGACGGCAACGAAACCAGTTAAACCAACAACTATGGCGATGCCCGTCGACTTCGGCGATTCAGCCGCAAGCGGCGGAGGTGGGACCCTGTCAGGACTGTACCAGAACTCAAGGCGGCTATTGCTGAAGACCAGAGATGGATTGGAGAAACTGGAGCGCTCACAATATGCGTCTTCCTCGGCCGTATTCACGTCTTCATCGATCGCCTCGTCCTCGGGCGTAGAATCTCCCAGTCATCTGTTCGATTCTGTCAGGAAGGACATCACTCAGATCCAGTTGCTATGTTCGGAGATGGATAGCCTTTGGCGTTCCATTCCCGCCAAATCTCAACGCGATCTCTGGAAAAGGTCTATCGGAATATCTTATTCTGTATTTGCGTGCTAAATTGCAGTTCATTTTCTTCATAGGAGTGGTATTTCTTCATTCTAGACGTATGCAGTATTTTGAATCTTCTCATTCATGGGATTGCTTGATTGATCACGGAACCTAGATCACTGTTTTTAGAAAACAGAAATTAGTTAATTAGAGTACAACTTTTCATATACATAATCAAGATAAAGGGGTTGGTAATGGACGGTGCAAATTCCTCATTGTAGCAGTGCTGCTAAATCAAAGGAAAATATAACAAGATGATTAAGCGTTTGGTACCGGATGATAATGTAAACTAGAAGCATTATTGAAAATATCATTTCTTAATATTATAAGGAAAGAGGATGTGGAGTGTTCTTCAGTTTGGCTAAGGCATTCAGCTTAGGTTTTTTCATTATTTACTTTCTAAAAGAATCCATTTGAAAATCCAACCAAGCAAGTGCAGGTAATACTTATAGTTTTCAGTTATGTCGCCTGAGTTTGCTACTTCAGTCTAAGTTTTGATCCCTCTTGAAATGTCTAGCACCTGTATATGGGGGAGAGAGAGATGACCATCTTGCCTCCTTTTAATAGGGTGAAAATGTGCGACTGACTTCTCCATTTCTTCCATTTGCTGTTTTTTTTATTATAATATCAAGCAAAATTGGCTCTCTAAACTGTCTGCTACTTCTTGTAATCGTGAAGTAGCAGTTGTTCAATGCAACTTTCGACGTTCATCATTGGTCATCTGGAAATAGCCGCTCTATGTTTTAAACATAGGGTTGAGACTGCGTACATCCGACCCCCCTTACCCCGCAATGGGCGATAGCCGGTCAGGCATTGGGGGGTAGTGTTGTTGTTGTATCAAGCGAAACATTTAGTGATTATCAATTGGCAATTGAACAATCATGGTTATGCTCATATTTTAGTTTTAGCAGCATCATTTATTGACATGCATACAAAAAATAGAGATTACAGAGCTGCTCTAGACCACCTGAGCAATTCTCGCTGAATTAAGCTCTTCTATCATACATTTCTTTTTGCTTTCATGTCAAATAATTTCTGCATTTCCCTTCCATTCTATATGCTGTTTCATGAGTGTTTTGATGGAAACATTTGAAGGGGAAACTGTACCTTTCTGTAGGCGATCCATTCTCTTGCTTTCTAAGACTCCCTTCACCCCCCCTCCCGGCGCTCCCGCAAAGACGATGCAAGTTAGTTATTTTTCATATTTTGCTGAAGCTAGAAACTTATGGTTATGCAGAAAGGTGGAACAAGTGGCTGAAGAGGCTGATTCTCTGAAAGACTGTTTGAATAAATACGATCTTCGTGATAGAAAACGAATACAAGAAGCTCAAGAGAGAGCTGAGTTACTAGGAAGAGCTGTATGTAATTCTTCTTTTGTTTCCGATTAGAGAATCATTGATTTTCTGATTTATTCTCTTTCATAGTCTCATTTGTTTGCTTTTATATTCTAGAATGGAAGTTCATCTCATATTCTTCGGATTTTTGATGAGGAAGCACAAGCAATGCAGTCTGTCCGTAGATCTTCAAAGATGATGGAAGAAACCTTTGCAACTGGTGCTGCTATTCTCTCTAAATACAGTGAGCAAAGGGACCGATTAAAGGTATTTAGATCTATCTTGACCCCACCCCAACACACAAACACTGCCAACATGTAGTCATGATGAGGTTAAATGAACTAGTTTCATGTGCTTCGTGTATGGCTGGTTGGTTTCTTAGGTGTATGCATTCTCAGATACTCATTGTCTGCTTTCATCATAAACTTAGATTGTAATACTCTTATGAAATTCATGTGAAATTGTGCGTCTAAAAATATAATTTTTCTGTTGGGTCCAGTGAAATAGCTCAGCTCCCTGTGTTTTTTGTTAATTTGCAATGAATTTTTTCATCATCTCCGATGGAGCCAAAATTTCACCATTTTTTGGCTTTGGGGTGTGTTGGAATAAATCAAAATGGATCTCTAAACTATCTGTGCTTCTTTAATTAATGAAGTAGCAGTTCGTCAAGCAATGCAACTTTTGACGTTGAGCCGGGGGTCTCTTTGGAAACAGCCTCTCTACTTTCGAGTAGGGGCAAGGTCTGCGTACATACACCCTCCCCAGACCCTACTCTTGTGGGATTTAACTGGGTTGTTGTTGTTGTTGTTGTGCAATGAATTTTTTCAATAAAATGGAGATTATCATGAACTAGATTTAGACTTCCGGGCTCTATGTGATTCCAGGAAATAAAGGCCTCGGAATTGTTTTCCTGAAATTTCATTTGTTTAATGCCTAGTACAGCAGACAACAAAAACATGAAAAAATGAATTTCCTTCAAGAAAAATGACTATCTTTCGTAAAGTGGAAGTCATTTTTTCCACAAAATTTGAAACAATCAAAAGATGTTTCTCCAGGAAAAAAGTTTTGTGGTGCCAAACACAAAAACTCAGAAAATATTTACCTGGAAAGAAACACGGCCTTATTTGCAGCATTCATTGTGCATGTTTTAATTCCCATGCTGCTTCAAGGAATATAAATGCATATTTCTGTGTCCTGACTCTCTCTTAAAAGAGTGAAATATTTTTGACAAAATTAGGGAATAATGAAGGTTTGTTTGGCCATGTCAATGAACTTCTCTTTATTTAAGCTGACCTCTTTTTTTTAATGGGTGAAAGATACGAGTGCAGTACAACATGACTATTGTCCATTGTTTTGCCTGTTTCGAACTGTGAATAATTTATGCCTTTACAACATGTCAGCACGCTCAACGGAAAGCTCTGGATGTGCTCAATACAATGGGACTGTCTAATTCTGTATTGAGGCTGATCGAGAGGAGAAACCGTGTCGACAAGTGGATCAAGTATACCGGCATGGTTGTGTCGGTCGTCATCCTTGTCGTCGTGTGGAAGTGGACAAGGTAAGTGGTTTCTTAGATGCTTGGAATTGACACACTGAAAGTTAATAGACAAAACCAATGTTGAGGGCCATGACCATATCTTTTAGGTATCTGAGGTTAATTTTGGGATTGCATTCCATTTCTACTTGTAAAAATGTCACTTGTGAGTGGATGAAAAGGCAGTGCCAGTGGTTTGTCAATAGTATTTGGGAGGGGGGGGGAGCCACACCCACACCCCACTTAAACACTAAATTCATCCCACTTTTTTTTATTCTATTGAAAAGACATGTCTATCCTTCTACAAACCAAAATCTCTATGACTACCACAAAAGTTAGTTTAAAAAAATAATTAATCTATATTAATAAAAATTGTTTACACACTCCGTGTAAAAAGAAGATAATTATTATTCCATCTGTTCCATTTTAAATTGCTTGTTTTCCTTTTTTTTCCGTCCCAAAATAAGTTACCTGTTTCTTGTTATCGTAAACTTTTAAGAATAAAATACCTAAACTACCCCTAAAATAAGTCACCCTTCTCCACTTTATCTTCTCATTCATTGTCACCCCTCCTAAAAAAGTAAAGACAATTTTGGAAAGTCAACTCTATTTTTTTCTTTCTTAAATATGTCCCAAAGTCAAAACGGGTGATTTCAAACGAGACGGAGGGAGTATCAGTTAAGTACAGAGATGATAATTGCTAATTGAAAATAGTGCCCCGTTTAGTCCCCCCGACTAATGGTCGTCAAAACAGCGTCAAAATGACTTTAGAACATATACTAACTTTCCAAATTGATCATATATAGTTGGATATTTTTCTAATTAGTCTATTTTCAATGTAAAAAGTCATTTAATATAGAAAACCGAAGCATGATTCTTCACTTTTAATTAATTCACGATGTTTGAACGAAGTCAGGAGACCATTTTATGATATTTTATTTTGAAAATTGACAAATTTAAAAAAATTGATTAGAAATGATCATTTTGGAAAATAAGTATAAGTTTTAATGTCGTTTTCACTCCATTTTGATGGCGGTTAGTCCGAGGACTAAATTGAGCATTATTTTCAATTAACGAGTATCATCTCAGTGATTAGTTCATCTTAGTAACTAATTTGGGAAACACATAGTTATTGAGTATCATTTTAAGAATTTACTCATCACAAAGATTCAAGTGACATTGGAGGGCAATGTCATGGAATGGCCCGGGGGCGCTTGGGTGCCTCATTCGTAAAATTGACGGTTCTTACCCCCGGTAAACCCCCTCACTCGGCTCCGACCCGAACTCACCCTCATCCCCTTCAATTGCACCCACAAGTTGATTTTGACTTTGGAGTCAAATTTTGACTCCAAAGTCAAAATCAACTTGTGGGGTGCAAATGAAAGGGGGGGGGGAGGGGGTGTTCGGGCCAGGGCCGAGTGGGGGATTTACCGGAGGTTAAGGGGGTAGGAACCGTCAATTTTACGAACGGGGCACCAGAGCGCCCCAGGTCATCCCATGACATTACCCTCCAATGTCATTTGAACCTTCCCCCTTACTCATTTATAATAAGATGTTTTCCGAATCAATTCTCAATAAACAATACTCCGTAATTACTAATAAGATGTTTTATATTAATATTTTTTTGGTAATCTCCATAAAAAATATCCATCAAATGATTATTAAGTACTCCGTACAATGTATTTTGATATTTTTCCATCATCTAAACTATAACAAAGTTCTCAAAATAGTCTTTTATAATCAAATGTTTTCTCAAATCATGAGTTTATAATTGTAATACCATCCCAATTATCGGAGGGCTAACATGAAAAGAAATTAATTGCTTCTTCTGTCCCAAATTTAATTGCGTGTTACGGTTTATGATATTTAACTAAAATTGTTTTCAATTTATTTTATTTAAGAATTGGTATGCAATTAAAAAATAAAAATTACATTAAAAGTTTTACGAAACGAGAGGTGACATGACTATATTATTTTATCATATGAGTAATGGAAATAGGTAAAGAAATTAAATGAAGTTTGATCATGTGAATAATAATAAACAAATAACTTAAATTGGGGCGAAAATAGTATAGAATACCATGCATGTAAGTAATTATTATTTCTTGAGGACTATCGAGAGAAAATATCTCAATTATGAAATATTTTATAGTCCGTAAGTAATTATTGCTTAATGAGCACTGATTTGAGAAAATGCCTTATTGACCATTTTGAAAATTCATTTTATTATTACCTGGGTATTAGATGATTAATAACTGTTGTGTTATTAACTTTATGTTAACATGAAGTGTTATTCCTTATTGAGTATTTTGCGCCATTTACCTAAGAATCATATGTAAAGTGTGTGTTTTCCCCTTGAATTTTTAAAAATGCACCACTAGTCTCTATACTTTTCATCAAGTGTGTGTTTTACCTTCAAATTCTTTAAAAACTGCATGTTTTCTACTTGAACTTTCTGAAGTGAACCATTAGCTCCTATGCTTTTCATGAAGTGCATGATTTTTCCTTAATATTCAAAAGAAAACTACTAGTCCTATTATTATTTTTTATTCAGGTTTGGTTAAAGACGTTAAATCAAGAGAAAATTTTAAGGTTTCAAACATGCACCATTTTCTAAAAAAACATAAGACTAATGATATATTTTTGAAAGTTCACAAGAAAAACACGCACTTTATGAAAAGTATAGAGACTAATGATGCACTTTTGAAAGTTCAGAGAAAAAACATGCACATTTTAAAGAGCTTTGGGGCAAAGCACACACTTTGTTTAAAGTGTAGGGATTAATGGTGTGTTTTTGAAAATTCAGAGAAAAAATATGTAATTTATGAAGAATTCATCGACAAAAGGTGGAATAAACTTATACTCCGTACTTGTTTTGAGGGGCTATAAACATATTCCTTTTTTGTTATTACGGAGTATATATCCATCATCTCCGATGGAGCCAAAATTTCACCATTTTTTGGCTTTGGGGTGTGATGGAATAAATCAAATGGATCTCTAAACTGTCTGCGCTTCTTTAATTAATGAAGTAGCAGTTAGTCAAACAATGCAACTTTCAACGTTGAGTCGGGAGTCTCTTTGGAAACAACCTCTCTACTTTCGAGTAGGGATAAGGTCTGCGTACACACACCCTCCCGAGACCCTACTCTTGTGGGATTTAACTGGGTTATTGTTGTTGTTTATTACGGAGTATTTGATAATTGATTCCAATCATGCAGTGTAACCCAACACTGAATTTGTCTTCCCATCAAAACATTTTTGTTGGCATGTCAAAATTTGAAAATGTGTTAATTAACTGAGGTCGTAATGAGAGGGTGTTTTGGGGTTACATTTTTTTTGAGTTTCTATTTTGCTAAAATGTATTCCGTAATTTGTTGTGTTTGTCAATCAGTTTTGCTTATATGTATAATGATTTTTAAAGTAAAATAAATTTTAGAAATACTCTTAAGTAAAGTTAAAACTACTCCTTATATGTTTTTCGTTCTAACTTAACTTTTATGCAGTTCTTTAATTTGTAAATTAGATTTTTAAATTTTGCTCTAATTCTAAAATAAATTGTATTGAAATTAACTTTGATCAAACATCGTAAATCAAAATAGGCGGTTTAATTTGGAATTGAGAGAGTAACAAAAAAAGAATGAACCTCATTCCTGAGGGTCCTTTAGAACCGGTTGGACAGTCATTAGAAATGAGATAAACTAGACTTTTATCGTAGATTAATAACAAAGAACGAAGTCTGCATCTGATACTTGCACAAATCCTATGTTCAACATAATTACCTCTTACCACAATTTCCAAAAATCAAAAGTATCACCTTCAAATACTCCTTAACTTGCCAACTGCACTACGTCTATGCACAAGAGTAACAAAGGAGAATAAAAGGGGTGGGGTTGAGTGTGTAGAAGAAAAAAGAATAAAGGGTTGGAATAAAGGGTTCTCTCTTAAAATTCTATCTTTTCCTTTTACACTCAACTCAATCTCTCCCTTTGAAACCCTTCACCGACCTTGGAAGTGTCACATAATATCACTTTTGAAGCCATTTGACACTGGTTTTTTAAGTGACCCAACACTTAATTGTTTTTTATTTATTATATTTAAAAAAAATTCTTTGTATTTTTTTGTATTACGTTTAAATTAATATTTCAAATTAAATACTTTAAAAAACCATCTACTACATCCGTCCCCCAGTTTTTGTCCACTTTTGATTTTTGAAGCTGTTCATCTAAACACTTTGACTCATCAAATTCTCTCAATGTGTAAGCCTAAATATAGTCATGTGTGATCTTGTTTGATTTGTCTTAACATATAGATTATTAATATATAATTTCTATACTTTTTTAATATACAAATTACAAGATAAAATGGATTAAAGAAGTGCATTGGATGGTGTGCCAAAAGGTAAGTGGACAAAGACAGTGGGACGGAGGGAGTACGAAATAAAAAATACTCCCTCCGTCCCGTTATATTCGTCCACTTTTGACTTTTGAAACTGTTCATCTAAGCACTTTGACTCATCAAATTCTCTCAATGTCTAAGCCTAAATATAGTCATGTATGATCTTGTTTGATTTGTCTTAACATATAGATTATTAATATATAATTTCTATAATTTTTTAATATACAAATTACAAGATAAAATGGATTAAAGAAGTGTATTGGATGGTGTGCAAAAATGAAAGTGGACAAATACTCTGGAACAAAGGAATTAAAAAAACAAAATTGGTAAAGGCCCATCAACCCGGCCATAACATACTTTCACGTGATGGAGCTTGATTAGAGAAACAAGCCTCATGACACCTACATGGCGGGTAGGGCCGGCCCCGAAAACTGAAAAATAAAATTGGCCCGGTCCAAAATTTACATTTTGTGCCCTATTTTATATTTTTAGAATACTTTTGCTTTAAAATTATTAACAAATTTAAAAATATGGTGCCCTAAATTTTAAGGTGCCATGTGCTGTTGGCCACTTTGCACACCCTCCGGGCCTCCCATGATGGCGGGGTTAAACCTCCTATCAAACCCATGATAACACATAGAGTGAGGCTGTGAGACCAACTCCAATGGAAAAGGTAAATGAGAAGATATTATACCTTCCTTAATTTTGAAGAGTTATATTTACCTCCTCAATTTTGGAGAGATATACCAATTTCTTTTATTTCTTTAAAATACTTTTATTTTGGGAAATATATATTTACCTTCTTCAATTGAAATCAAGAACTTTTTAAATAAATATATCTATTTTTTTGAGAAGATAAATAAGCAAAGTACCTTATCAATTTACCTTTTCCGTTTTGAGGTGAGTATATAACTTTGTGAGGATGGCCAGTCGGCCACTTTGGACTGTTTGGAGACGCATGTGGGAGCTCATATAATACTCCGTAATACGGAGTATTCTTTATATATTGGGTTTTTTTTGGCCCAACCATATTCTCCTTTCAAAAAAAAAAATATTCTCCTTTTCTGATAATTAGAAAAATGTTATTGGCACTATATCTTCTAGAACTTGTTCTTCAGGGTTGAAAGAAGAAGTTGAATGTGGGAAAAACTGAAAAAAAGGAGGTGGAGGTGGAGGTGGAGGTGGGGCCGATGGTGAGGCTGCCGACAGTGGAGTGGCGGCGGTGGTGAGGAGAAATAAGTGTTGGTGTGACGGGCGGCAAAGGAGGTACTAGCGGCGATGGTTGGGACGGTGATTGTCGGGCTGGTCAGGAGGGAGAGGGAGGGCATTTTAGGGAAATTACACCCATAGTCAACCCTTCAAAAAAATGAAGAAAAGTCCAAATGGAAAGTTTTTTCCCGGACGGAGGGAATAATAATAATAATAATAATAATAATAATAATAATAATAATAATAACAACAACAATAGTGATCTATGGTCCAAATTAAACCTTAGCCGAACCTGGTTATGATGATATGGTGGGGGGCTAATTTTTTGGACCCTATAACCCATGAGTGGGATGTTACATTATTAGTTAGCCCACATTTTGATGATCTATGGTATCGGTATGGTGATCCTTAAGGAATTTACACTGTGAGAAGTGGATATATATATTTATATATATATATATATATATATATAGATATCTACGCCATGCATCCCCGTATACAAGAAATACACAAATTTGGAATATAATTTGGAATGGTCATATTCCACCCAAATGGAAAATTTTTGTTTGGAGAGCGTTAATGAACATACTGCCCACCACATTTTTGAATCTTTATAATAAAGGGATTGAAGTACTATACGTACGTGAAGCCGTTATGCCCTATATATATATGCAGTACTAGTTAGTCAAGAAGATATCATGCATATTGTATGTTTATGTCCATTTGATGATAATATTTGTTCATGCGTTTTCAACTTATTGAAACCAATAGAGTTAACATCCTTATTGAGGTTTGAACAAATGATTTTTCATTTCAAAGAGTCATAATAATGGTGTCACTAGACCAGAACCCCATGTCATGGAACCAGTGGCGGACCTAGGGGGTCCGATGGTGTCAACCGACACCACTGAAATTTTATCGACAACAATTCTTTATATAATTAATAATAATAATAATACTTTTTACTCCATAATTGTGTTATTTTGAATCATTTAAATGTTCGAGGAAAATTTATTACTCTGTAATTTTTGTTATTTCTTATTGTGTTAAACATAGTTATCTACCATCTAATGTGTATTAACTTCAATATTTTCTAGTGCTATCTTTTTTTATCATTTTTAATATTAATAATAATGTCATAGAATAATGTTATTTTAATTATTTAAACGTCAAATATAAAATTTACTAGTTTGATATCTTTTATTATTTCTTATTGTGTTTGTAAAAGAAACCTGGAAATGCTACCTCCGAACTCTCGTCGCATGCCCTCACAATCTGCATAAGAAGTTCTGGCATCTTTACTCTTGACACCGCTCATTTGAGAGTCTGGGTCCGCCACTGACTCCACCCTTTTCCCATGGGACGATTCCCAAGACATTGGTTGTCAGGCAATATAATGGGATGACCCGAGAGTGCTCCAATACTCGTTCGTAAAATTGATGCATGGTTCCTACTCCTCCCAAAGTCAAAATTAACTTGTGGGTATATTTGAAGAGGATGAGAGGGTGTGCTCGGGACGTGACGGGAGGTTTATCAAGAAGATTACGAGAGGTAAGAACCGTTAATTTTACGAATGAGACACCGAAGCACACCCAGATCATCTCATAGATCTCATAGGATGAGATTCGAATGTAATGGGAAGAACCCCACCCATTTGCCCAAGAGTAGTCCATGTAATGCTACTACAGTACGTTACCAAGTATGGAATCTACTGTTTGGCCTCTCTTGCACTTTAAGCCTCGTTTGGAAGTTCACTTAATTCACGTTTCTTTTTTTTTTTCTTTCCCATAAACTTGCACTGCTTTCTCTCTCGAAGTTCAACAGATAGGTGAGTTTTTGTTTTTCCCTTTAAAAAAAAAAATTCTGAGCAGCTCATTATTAGAAGAGCATGCCATTTTTTTGTTAAAAAATGTTAATTTGTTTTCATTCAAGCACCATTTTTGAGCTTTCTTGAAAATTTCTCAAAATTTCTTCCAGATAGTATAACTGGGTTCTCTGCAAATATATGTATAGATGTTCTGTTTCATTTTCTTTTCCAGGAAATTCTTATATGGATTAAGAAACATGAATTGTTTGATATGTATAAGTAATGAATTCTTTGAAGAACATGTATTTATTTTTAAACTTTATTGAACTTTCCATGAAAATTTCTCAAATTTTCTTCTCAGTCATGTGGACTGTATATAGTGTTTGTTTGTGCAGCGTTTGGCAATGGCGAAAGGTTTCAAGTTGACGGAATTCATAGTTTTGCTTGTCCTGTCGTCGTCTTCCTCGTTGGGGCTTTCGGAAGAAGAAGAAAAGGAAAAAGGAATTTCATATTTGGAAGTCCAAACACTCCTTAGGGTACGGAGCCTGCTGAATTCTCCGCCTTCATTGAGGAATTGGAACAACCGGACGGATTTCTGCAACGTCGAGCCGACGCCGTCGCTGACGCTCGTCTGCTACGGCGGAGCCATTACTCAATTGCATATTATCAACTCCGGTGGAAGTCTCCGGTTGCCGGAGAATTTCTCCGTCGACTCGCTCGTCGCTTCCCTCGTCCGGCTCTCCGGTCTGAAGGTCCTGAAATTGGTTTCCCTCGGCTTATTCGGCCCGCTCCCCGGGAAAATCGCGAGATTATCTTCGCTTGAGATACTCGATTTGAGCTCCAATTTCTTCAGCGGGCCCATACCGCGCCGGATCTCGTCGTTATCCCGTCTCCAAACGCTGGTTCTCGACGGGAACGGCTTCGCCGGGAGTCTCCACGAGGGTTTGGGCTCGCTTCCGGATTTGGCCGTATTGAGCTTGAAGAACAACTCTCTCGGCGGCGCCCTGCCGGAAACACTCGGAGACTTGCGTAATCTTCGCGTACTCGCTCTCTCCGGGAACAATTTCACCGGAAACCTGCCGGATTTCACCGGCCTGGAAAACCTTCAAGTTCTCGATCTGGAAGGCAACTCGTTCGGACCTGAGTTCCCCCAACTCGGAACCAAAATCGTCACCCTAGTCCTTCGGCGGAACAACTTCTCCTCCAACATACCGGAGAAGGTTGGTTCGTTTCCCCAGCTCCGGCACCTCGACGTCTCGTCCAACCGCCTCGTGGGCCCCTTTCCGCCATCGTTGCTTTCCCTTCCGCTGATCAATTATCTCAGCGTTGCAGAAAACAGACTGAAGGGAATGCTCTTCGAGAATCTCACTTGCAGTTCTGAATTACACTTCGTGGATCTCTCCACTAACCTCTTGACCGGAAGATTACCCAGTTGCCTCTTGAACAGTTCAAAGACCGCTGTAGTGGACGGAAACTGCTTGGAAGACGGAGATGGAAATCAGCACCCTGTTTCCTTCTGCAGGAATGAGGCGCTGGCGGTGGGTTTTTTACCCCCTTCACATCATAGAAGCAGCAGGAAAATAGGGTCGGGAGTGATTCTTGAATCGATCGTATTTGGGAGTGTTATAGGAGGAGGCAGTGTGGTTCTTGCTATGGGGTTTTTTGTTGCCAGAAGATTTCTTGCAATGAAGAGAACCCCATCCACGTTGATGCTGGATAATCCTTCATCTGTATACACATCAAAGCTGTTCTCAGATGCAAGTAAGCTTCTTCTCGCCCTTTAAAATAAGGGGTCATGGGCTCGTTCTGATTTGAATTTACTAAGGTCTGATCTGAATCTTTCTAGTTCGATCGAATCCGATTTTAGAGTTAGAGTTGTACAATACGGTAAAAAAACTTTTTTTATATGATCTAAATTTTTTCCGATCCGATGTGATTTCAAACAAAATAAGTAATAAGAATATGTTGAAGAGAAGAGACATCTACCAGCACCAAAGCCTTACAAAAGGGTTTGGTATTGAGGAAATATCAGAGCTCATATTTCTTGCACTCACCAGACGTGTCCTAAATGATTGAATCCAATCTATTCGCGAGTTGAACTCAAGATCTAATTAACCCATCACAATAACTTCATTTTTCGTTACCATTCGGTAGCATTTTCCGTGATCCAAACATGCCCTTTAAGAATGTGTGGAATTGAAATGAAGGGAAAACATGATTGAATTCAATGTCTTGCATACAGGTTCTTCTATGCTACTATTAAGTTATTGTTTGGCCTTTCTTTCTAGGGTATATGACCCAAGCCATGAACATAGGGTCAGTCAGTGTTCCGTCATATCGAACCTTTTCATTGGAAGAACTTGAAACTGCAACAAACCATTTCGACACGTCAACTTTAATGGGAGAATGTTCCAACGTTCAGGTACTGAATCTTGCAAACTTTATGAGTAAGATATTGATAACTTAACATCATATTTTCCCTTTGGGCAGAAGTCTCCCCTCTGTTTTGGAACAATAGCTGAAAATTTATGATTTTTTATGCATCCAGATATACAGAGGGCGACTGAGAGATAGCTCATTTGTTGCTATTAGATGCCTAACCCTGAGAAGAAGCGATAGCATTCAAAATTTCATGCAACGCGTTGAGTTAATATCCAAACTCAGACATCAGCACTTGGTCAGTGCTCTCGGGCACTGCTTCGAGTGTTACTCGGATGATTCAAGTGTCAGCAGAATAGTTCTCGTCTTTGAATATGTGCCAAACGGGACCCTGAGGAGTTGGATATCAGGTAATTCAAAAATCATATTATAATATAAAGTTATATTACATCGAATCATTTATCAAATGTATAGAAAAAATAATGCAAACTATCTTGATAGAATTGAGAGTTGGGTATGGGTCACTCAACTGAGTCATAAGACACGTGAGCCAAATCACACTAAAGTATACAATTGAATCCAATAGTTATCTAGTTCATATCATGTATAATATGAATTGCAGGGAAGCATGGAAGGCGGATATTGAATTGGGGACAACGTGTTTCTGCTGCAATAGGAGTAGCTAAGGGTATCCAGTTCTTGCATACTGGAGTCGTTCCCGGTGTCTTTCCAAATAAGTTGAAAATAACTGATATTTTGTTGGACCAGGAGCTCGTTGCAAAAATAAGTACCTTTAACCTCCCCATTTTCGCCGATGACGTTGCACAGGTTTGGATTAAAATAACTTGGGAAAAATAATTTTTATGCTTTTGTGAAAACCCCAACTCAATGCTCTCACATTTTTGTTCTTCTTTAACCAATATGTGCAATATGCATATTCAGATAATTTTTTTTAACACCTTAAATTAAAAGTGTTCCATCTAAAAGCTATACAAACACTAAATCTAAAGACTATCTTTGAATGACATCATTTTTTAAATTTGCAAACATGATGGTTTCAAATCCAAAAAACAAGTTTTCAAATTGTGTTGCCACACAACCACTTACTCTTTGTGCTATGGCATTCTGCAGGCCACCCGTCCAAATTTCCCTGGTGGTTCCAATCAACTAAATGGTGCAAGGTTTGTGAACACAAACTACAAATCCTTTTAATATAAAGATCATGTTAGGAATCCACCACGGTTGCCCCTATGAATGACAATCATAAGTGATTTTGTACATACACAGGCGATAATCGTCTATGTTCACAGACAATTATCATTTGTGTATGTATAAATTATCTGTGATTATCATCCGTGGGGGCACTCGTTATGGGTTCGTAGCATTTTTGTTAATATAAATAGCAACACATCCTTCTATGGCTATGTATAGCTTATTAATGTTTTGGGTAGTTGAAGACTTCATTGTTTCTACGTATGCTTATAGCTTTTAGTCTGATGAATCTATTTGCAGGGAAAGAAACAACGGAAAGCTGGACGTATATGCCTTTGGTGTAATATTGCTAGAACTAATTACAGGGAGGAAGACAAATACCAAAAAGGAGGTGAAGATCCTTAAAGATCAGGTATACTTCTTTGGTAAAGCTCAAAATGGCTGAACTTGTTGCCAAAATGACTAAGAACTTGTTCTCTTCAACTTATTCTTTTTACTTATTACTTATTCTTATTGGACTTAGACCAGACCAGATTCAACTTTAAATATAATAACTACTATCACATCAGAACTAAATCGAATCAGATCAGAACCAATCAGATAAGTTCAAGAGAGAACAAGTCCTGGATCTATAAAGATTTCATCTAAAAATAATAATTTAAATTATGTTAGCCAAATAAACTTTGAAAAAACAGCATACAAACAATGAAGGTAGAAATATAATTTCCAAACGGGCTATAATAAGTGCCTAATCATGGTCGATCGTGTTGGGTTCTTCTAGCTTAGCTTCTTCCTGTGTTGTATGCAGTTGCAGGCGAGCCCAACGGCTGATGATGCATGGACAACGAATGTGGTTGACCCAAGGGTCAAGAGTTCAAGTTCAGACGAATCGGTTAGGACGATGGTGGAGATTTGCTACAGATGTTTGGTTGAGGATCATGAAGACAGGCCTTCCTTTGAGGACATTTTGTGGAATCTGCAGTTTGCTGCTCAGGTCCAGGACGCGTGTAGGGCAGATGGTTCTCCAAGCAGCAGTGATGCCTCGCCGGTCTCCCCCTTTCGCCACCCTTCACTTCGCCAGATTTCTGTTCGGTAGCATCAACAAAGACACCTGTGGGGGATCACTGTGTTGTTCTACTCATGCCTCATGGAGATGATGTCCTATGTGACACCGTTATATATGCCAGATAAGATGTCCTCTCCATGAACGCTCCGTTGCGCACAAAAACTGTCCCCTTTCTGAAAACTATGTGTACAAATTCATTAATTTTCCACTTAAATTTTATACATTTGAGCCAGTGGCCCTCTCCTCGTCACTTGCCCTCATATTCTAAGCATAGTGAATTCATATTGGAGGGTCTTTGTCTCTTGGTGGTGACATTATCATAAATTAGATTTAGGTTGCATGATCTGATCCTATTTTTTGAAGATATGCTCTTATGTAAGTGTAGTTATATTTAAAGTTGTTACTGATCTGATCTGGTTTATTTTAATTAAAATAAGTAATATTAAGTTGAATGAAACGGATTCTAAGGGTTCATTTGTTTCTGATTCTTAAAAACAGTCAATTCTGATCATCAACAAAATGTTGCATTTGTTTTAGATACTCTGTGTTTTTTAAAAAAATCAAACCTGTTTCAAAATCTGATTCTCCATTGCATACTTCTAGTTCTAAAAAGAATCAACAGATTCAATTCAACAAGTCTAACTGAATCTAACTTTAAAATCACTAACCAAATACACAATCAATATCAGTTTACATTCTGGACACCAGAATCACCCCATTCAAAAACACTTTCACTCCAAAATCCAAAATCAACTTTACCATATGAATCCAATCCAAATGTACACCCCATCAAATACATCAGCCATTCTTGTTCACACAGTACTTGAAGGTGATCTATGTGAAGGGTATAGAGTTATACGGAGTATACTCTCATGTATGCTCTGAAGGGAGGACCCCTAAACATGAAGGGCTGCCACAAAAGCACAGGGAGCCCTTGGGAGGAAGATCAAGCGCGACATCCCCATAGCTGAAACTGAGCTCTTCATCTTCTTGTATCTCCATGGAAGCAAAGAAGCAAACACGGGGAAGCAGAGCTCCAGAGCTTCGCACTATGGCAGCACAGAGGTTCCCTCCGTCACACGAGTGGTTGATGAAACGCGCAATGTTTCCTGTTTTGGTGGCATCAATGTTCATCCTCATGCACGCGTTCCCGCACGGTAGATGCTCCTTCACAACCAGAAGGGCAGAACAAAAATGCCGGCTTGTTCTTGATGGAGTGTCATCGTACTGTCTGAACCGGGCTCTTGCTTCTGCAGTTGTCACAAGTTCCCCTTCCATTCAAGAGATCACCCACAACCAGAATCAGCCCATTATACAATCATGTTCTTCCAGAAGAACCAAAATCATGAAATTTACTACGTATTTCCGAGAGTACGAAGGCTTCGTACGAAATTAACTCTCAAGTTTGGAATCAAAATCTCAGCAAAACTGGTGGCATTCCACACATTTACAAGATTTTATCTGTTTTTTTTCAGTATTTCAATTCTCACCATCAAATCAAAATCCATTGAGATAAATCCTAACACTATGTTTGGCTCAATGAATTTGAAAGGGAAAGCAGGGTCCTAGGAGTGTGCAGAGGTTGCTTCCAAGAAAAAATGAGGACACAAAATGTACTAAGATGATGGCCCGTTTGGCATTTTGAAAAAACTACCCGACGCTAGCTTTTAGCATTAGCGTTTTCAGAATTAATCTGCACCATTAAAATTTTATTCCAACTCCTAACGCTAATTGAAAACGCTGTTCCCAAACGAGGCCGATGAAAAAAAGAATTCCTCTCATTTTCATAATGAATTTGGTGAGAAAATTGAGTGAAAACTATTTTCTTTACTTTTTCTTTCCAAATTCCCCGAACCAAACATATAGTGTTAGCATCAAGCACAGATTATGAGCTAAGCTTTCGCAATCTGCAATTCCAATTTTTGTTCCAAAAACGAAAGGAAAAAAAGAAAATATTACCAGCATACTCGCAGATGAACTTGCCTTTAGGAATCATCTCCCCAGCCCGCAAGCTCCATCCTTTCCTCTTATCCTTAACGATTTTCAGCCTCACAGAAACGCCATTTTGAGTCAACCGATTCCCGCAATCCGAGAAGCAGCCACAGCTGGGACCACACTCCCGACTCGGAAACTCGGCGGCCGAGTCCCAACACGGGCATCCCGAACCGCCGCCGCAGCCCCGGCGGCAGTCGCACCCGCGGGCACCCTCGACTCTGAACAGGAACGGATCCGGACGCGCCCGACCCGGCCCATCGGCCGGACCTCCCCAGGACTGAGCTACGCCGGCGGAAGGCAGAGACTGAACCGGGGTGTACAGGAAGTGTGCGTAGGGCTGCGAGTCGACGGCGTTGATGAAAGGGATGGCGGAATTCTCGAAGGTTCTAGATGCATCGGAGATTCTAGTGGAAGTAACGGCGCCGGAGATTCGACGGGAGGATCTGCATGTGGATGAGACGGCGGCGAGATCGGAGGGTTGCAAGTAGGGGAAGATGAGAGGGGCACAGTGGAAGAAGGACACCTCCTGGGCTTCGGAGTTGTCTTCTTCTTCTTCCTCTACGGATCGGCCCCTTCTGCATCGTTTCTCCATATACTTTGGGCTAGCAAATTTACAGGTGACATATTCTTGTTGATTGGCTTCATGTGAAAGGACATTGTTCTAGTATTTGTTTAAAGTTTTTTGGTTCAAAATTAAGAGATTTTGACCACGAATTAAATAAAAATAATAATATACTCCGTATGTTGATACAAAAATAAACATTTTTATCAAATTTATTTTATAAAATATTTTCAAAATACTATTTATCAAATTTATATATCATTTATGCGGAGTATATTTTATTTAATTAAAATTAGATAATTACTCAGAGACGAGGTAGTATTAAAGGATAATTACTCCACAAGTACATTGTGTTTAATGATACTAGTCCACAAAAAGTTGCAACATAGGGGCAAATTGGGTATTCACTTGGCAACATGGTGCTCCCAATTTACTTTGTACTTGCTCAAAAGCAAAGAGATAAAAGCAATTTGGGTATCAGCTTCATCATCTTTCACAAAAGAGTCCCAACTCCCAACTACAAGGTAAAGAAATTTGCAGGCCTCAACAATGTTCATCTTCACCCAAAGGTTGCAATGAGGAAGTTTTTGTATATGCTCATAAATTTGGCCACAAAAGCTGCAATATACACCGCAAATGTACGATTCTTTAATTTAAAAAAAAGGAATATTGGGAAAGGTAAGACACACCTAGAAAGGGTAAGAAATGATCAATTTACAAAGAGATGTGCAAGAAGTACCTTCAAGGTGAAATATCGCCTTCTGTCCCAAGCGCATCCTATGCTCCTGAAAGATTGGGTAAGAGTAAATTGAAGTAATTCCCCATACGTAGGACTCCCCCTGTCTCGTTGAGGCTTATGCAGAGGAGAACGACTTTATGAACCACACAGAATTTCCCTTAAAAGAATCCCAAAAGGATATTTTGGGACATCCCGAAAAGGAAAACAGGAAAAAATTATGGGACAGGGGAGTGCGACATTTTTTTAATGAGATAAAGAAGCCATGTTTGGCGAATGTAGATCTTTTACATGTCCATAGGGTAAAACTACTGCTCTAAATAACAAATCCTCATGTTTATTTAACTCATATATTAGTTTATCATATGCAATTTGAATGCGACTCTTTTTGGGAAAATTACACCAAACCAGGTTTGTTGAAAAAAGGTACTCTTTTTGGACAAAATAGTATTTGAAACAGAACTCTTTTTTGTTTAGAGACCAAGCGAGTAGAATGGAAATTTAACCTCTTTTTAAACTTGAATTGTGGCCCTCCAACTTGGACTTCAATAAGAAATTTTGTATTTATGCACGTAGACATTTCATTTTATAACTAATGAAAACTATACGAATAAAATGAAATTACGAAAGCAAGACTCCAAAGAATACAAGAAATATAAATTTTAGGAATGGTCAAAGAAATCAGCAATAAGACACATTCTGAACATCCAAACACAGTATTGAGCAGCAGATAGACCCCATTGGCCAATAGACTTACATAGTACGCGGCCCAATGGCAAACCTCATGCTTCAACTCAGAATCCAACTTCTTCAGTAGTTCAGAGAGAAGCCTCTGAAATTAAAAGAGAATGGGTGTAGTGTAACTGGCATGTTCTTTGTTTGATTTTTATTATTAATTGCAACATATGAGAAATAAAGGAGCACATATTAGAATTACCTTTAAAATAACATCAGGCGGAATACAGTTAGAGATTAATTCATACAACTTTCCTCGAACCTGAAACAGCCTGTGATGGGGAAGTTGACTTTAAAATAGGACGGTGAGCAGGGCACAGTATGCAACACTAGGTTCAATTTGTGAAGGAATGAATTCCACACAATTGACGCAAAGATGACACTAAACTAAACATGTGTGCTTTTGTTTTTTCAAAGTACTCAGCATTTTTACTAATGCATAGCTTTATTGTAAAAATAGAATCATTTATGATATGCAATGATCCTTCGGTTGAAATTATTTTCATATAAAAATTCTGAAAAAGAATTTCACAGCTTCACCTATGGCAGTGTTTCAATCAATAAAATCTTAAGGTACAAGTTAAGGAACCACCAGGCAGATCTTGAGATTAACATCATAAGAGAAGAGACTATTTTTCCAACTTCAAATATATTGTGCTCTAGAATATTAACTTAAAAGGAATTTAAATAATTCAAAAAAGTTCAAGACATCATAAAACCATAGTTTTCATAACCGAACAAATCAAGGCACTGGTTCACTAGGAACAGTCGACCCTTGGTTTGAGCTTGCTTGAAAAATTCAATATACTCTGACCTATACACAAACAAACACACCCTTCGTCCCGCAATTATATTGACTATTTGACTTGAAAGTGTAAGGAAAATGTTAAAAAGTGAAAAAAAGTGTTGGAATCTGTTTAGTTGTGAGAGTGGTGAACTTTATAAATATAGGAACACTTATCTTATACCAGAAATTAAAAAGCACTTCTGTTCTGTTGGTCAAAGGTGGCTCTCATTTGCATGATGTTAGAAGTTTGAACCCCACACTGTGCATTCCTATTAGTCTGCAGCTAAGAGGTGGACATGGGCCTAGCTTGGATGGGTTCGGGCTGGGCTTTACATCTATAATTACAAAAAATTAGCATGCCCAAGCCCAGGTCAGCCCGATAAAACAAGGCCTCATATTTTGTCCAAGCCCGCCCCGAAAAAGCTGTGCCCAAGGCTCAACCCAATATAGCCTAAAATATATTAACATAGATATTAAAATAGTTTTTAAAAAATGCATAAATATGAAAATATTTTTTAAAAAAATTAAAAATTAAAAAGTCCTTGAGTAGGATTTGATTAAAACAATTTATTAGGCCTCGCAATATATTCACACATTCCATGCATATATTCCACATAATATTGTATTCTGTATATCTTTGAGCGCTTAGATTTGAGCTAGGCTTGATGAGGCTTGTGTTGCAAAGGTTTATAAAAAAACAGACCCAAACGGGCTTTTCTTTTTGTCCAAGGCCCAAACTTTGGGCCTTAATTTTTTGTACAAGCCCACTTAAAATATGGTTGGACCTTTGATAGCCAGTCCCATGTCCAACTCTACCCTAGCTTTACTGGAAAAGCCAGAGCGGTTCAACTGTTCTGTTTAAAACCCGGATGGTTCCATCCGGTAGGTAGTGGTTGACAGCATGAAATGGTCCACATGGGCCAACCGGACTGGAATGGCATCCGGTTCGCCGGTCTCCAGGCAGCCAGTCCCCAGTCCAGTTCCTAAAAATATGCATAAAATAGAAATATGCATGTTTATTCAGTGGTTTGCATTAAGATGGACTAGAAGCCTGGAACCCAACCTTTTAGGGCTCTGTTCCTTCATAATGTCTGATGCTACCTCTGCAACATATTCCTCCCAATCCATAGGAGGTATTGCTTGGTTATTTGTAAAGGGATACCTTCAACACAAAAAAAAATAATGAAAAGGAAAAAATTTGTCAGAGAACTAACGTAGGATAAAGAGTAAACACATGTTAATTCAAGTAGTTGAATGCAACATTGTAATGTTAAGGAGTTTAACTGTTGAACACGACAAGTCTCAAATAACAATATTGCTCTTCTCAAACTTCTCCTTGACTTTTCTGCTACACGGACAGCAAATCCAGATGGGAGTTGAAGTCCTTCTTTCTTAGCAATAAATTCCAAAACCTTTACAATCTGTCATATATGCAGATAGTAAATATAATATACACATTATAGAAAGTCTAAAAAAAAGTTTAAGCAACAGAGTGAGTGCTCTTTTGAAACTACAAATCGTAAGGGAAACACATAAGAGTGCTCTATGTATACATGTACATGCATAATCTTCAATGTTATATACTAGTAAGGCACATACAGATTCAAACACGAAAGGTGCCTTCAATTGTCTACCAGACTACCACTATTAAACATTTAGCCGAAGTGTATTTCAAATAACCAACTAACCAAGAGGTAAGATCAACTGAAGATATCGTCATATCGGCAAACAAAATGATGGAAAAAGTTCTGCCCCAAGAACAAACATGAGCATGAAGGTTTGAACATCAAATAAAACAAAGTCCAATGAGAGGGTCACTTACCTGCTAACACTTTATAACAATTAATACTTGCAGAAATTAAAATAAAGCAAAATTTCTTAAAATAATATTTAAATGATATTTAAAAAGAGAATTTGTTCGAAGCATCAAATAAGCTAACAAATACTAGTATGAAAAATCTACACTTTAAAGTTCCAACAGATAAATGAGCATGTGAATCTCATTACTCTCTTTAATTCTTGCAAGACATGCCCATAAACAACGGCAGCTTGAACTTTTAGTGTATAAAAAAAGGTAACCTTAATGCCTGCTGTATTACGTAATTTAAGTGGAACATAAATATACCATTATTGCACCCACACCTATGAAAAAGAAACACACACATTCTAGTCCATATGCATTCTAAGGTGCATACTCCTTATTTAAAAGAATGGATCCTACACAATATTCAAAGTTGTACTAAACAAAAGAAATAAACACATTAAAGACTATTTGCATTCTAAATGTGATGCAATTAACATGTCATTCAGTAGGTACTGGAATGGATTGAGCGATATCTCATGAAATTTGAAGAAAAAATAGTACTCTATCCTCCTTATTTAAAGTTCCTACTTTCCTTTTGGGCTAGCCCCTAAATACACAATAAAAAAACAAACTCAGGATCGTCCAAATCCATTGTTGTCTAGATGGTTGATGTACACAACCTTGGCCCCGTAAAAAAAATAAAGGATGTTTCTATTATACCTTTGATGTATTGTGGGATTTATTTTGCAAAACCACATAAAAAATAAGAAGCAAGGGAAGTTTAACTTCCCATTTTGATTAAGTCCAACTTTTACCCAAAGCTATGACATGATTAAATATGACTCCTTTAGCTCCATTAGCAATGGACGAATTGGGTAGTTCCGATAGAATGTTCTCATTTCCTTTCAAGGAAAGCATTGTGTGGTTCATATTATTTCTCTTTCCTCCACATAAATCTCAACCAAACAATTTAACATTTATTAACCTCCGTGAAATGAACATACATTGTGAGTAATCAGGTATGGCTGAAGTACTGAAAAAACAGAAAGAAGAACATTACAGACCTCTTCAACCTCAGGC